TCATAAACAGACTGCACGATCTCGGACACAGTAATCTATAGACGCCCTCAAGCCTCAGAAATTACTGGTGCTGGAGATTGAACCAGTGGCCTTATTCGTGCACATTGAGCTCATTGAGCCATAACGCTCCAGACGTGGATTAGAAAGGACAAATGAGTAAGGATGCGGCTTTCGGATGCAGCTTTCCGGAAGAGGGCTGGAAGCCAAAGGATGAGCGATCGCTCGCTTATCCAGATGAAGCGCGGAAGGCTGGGAGTTCATGCAGATTACAGAGCTCAAGAGCTTCTGGCGGAGAACCGAGCGGGAAAGCGACACCTCGGTCCGAGCGCCCCAGGCTCGAGACTCCCAGCAAACGCCGCCAGCGTCGCAGACTTCAAAATAAGACTGATCGCCGCCAGAGGCGCCCCCGGCGAGCGTGCTTGCGTAACGCGTGCGTGCGTGCGCGCGCGCGCACAGGCTGCTGGGATGCCGCCTCTTCCCTCTCGACCTCCCAGTTTCCCGGCGTGCTTCGGGCCCGCCAAATGGGAGGGGGAGACGCAAGATGGCGGCAGCCGCGAACTCCGGCTCTAGCCTCCCGCTGTTCGACTGCCCGACCTGGTGAGTGGCGGGGCTGCCGGGGCTGGAGCGGCCTGGCGTGGGCTAACCGGGGCAGGAAGGGAGGCTGCGGTTTTTCTTTCTTTTTTTTTGAAACGAGACGAACGGCTCAAAAAGAGCCTGGAATGATTGAGGGAAAACTGTCCGCGGTGAGGCGCCGGGCGACGTGTGGAGGAACCGGGGCCCAGGCTCCGAGGAAACCCGAGGTTTGGGAGCGCGAAGGCGTTCACTTCAGCCCTCGGGAGGCCAGCCGCTCGCCGAGGTGCTTCAGGCCTCGGCCCCTAACTTGCCCAACTCCTCCCGAGTGCCTGGTGCTCTCTCTCGCTCGCTCGCTCGCTCGCTCTCAGGCAGGGAGCATCATCCCTGCCCCCGGTGGTGAACGTCCCGAGCGCGCACGAGCTGCCTCCCCGGCCCGCCCGGCGCTGCAGCCCTCCGTGGCCGCTGCAGCCTCCAAGCCGTGCTCGCCCTGCGCCCGCGGACCGGGAGCTCCCTGAGGCCAGGGATGGCGCGGAACTGTCCCCCTTGTTCTCAGTGACCAGACCAGCGCGAAGCCCGGTACAAAAGACACCAGAAGTTAGTTGTTAGAATACATCGTTTCCATCCCTTGGGAAGTTCAGAGGAGGTGATCTAAGCGTTGAGTAGGGTACAGGATGAATAAATACGCTTCGCTTCGCGTGGGGATGCATCCGAGTTAGAGCCGGCTCTGCTGTTGCGGCTCCTCACGGTTGTTAACATGTTACTTCTCGGTCTTCTGTTACATTGAGACCTTCAAGGGCAAAAATCCACATGCATCATTCTCAGCCCCTAGGCCCGAGTCACGCACAGGAGAGGGTATCCAGAAAAATATATTTTGGCTTTAATGCTCATTTTAACCTGTTTCTCGAACAAAATGGGCTTTTGTTCAATGCACTGTCCTTTTAGCCACCACCATAAAATGTTGGAGCAGAACCGTGAGATGACTGTGTTGAATCTTCAATTAGGTAGACAGGGTACGTTTCTTCTGTGCAAATGTAAGGGCCCTGGAAGGTTCAAATGAGCAAGCCCAGGAAGCAAATGAATGTTTGGCTGTTTTCTGGATTTCTTTATCCTTAAAAAAACAAAAAACAAACAACAAAAACAGCCATTTGCTTCAGCCTTCAAATTCTTTATCCACACTGGTCCCTGGCTGCACTGATTTCAAATTTGGGCCAGCCAAATATAAAGAGAGTCTTTGAGATCACCTGTCATCAGAGGTCAGGTGACTTGAAATGCACACATCTCCCTTGAATGATAAAAGCAAAGAACAGAGAAAAGTTTGATGAATTATGTTTTTGCAGAAAGACCTGTTTAGGGTACTTGGTTTCATAGGCACGATTTTGATCTGCCCTAGTTCCCTAATTACACATCTCTGATTTGGTCTCAAGAGTTCATTTGGGTAATAGTTCTGCTTATTTTGTGTTGAGACTAAAATTGATCAGTCCCCAAACAACTAAAGTTTGTTATTGTTTGGTTGATTTTACTTTTGTTTATTTAGGGGCAAGATCTTCGAGTAATCCTGGCTAGTGTGGAACTTGCTATGTAAACTAGGATGGTCTTGAACTTGGAGTGATCCCTCTCATGGAAATTCAGATGTATGCTTCTGTACCCAGCACAGCAGCTGGTTTACTCTGCCTTTATGTTCTGTCAGGACTAGTAAATCTTATATTAAAACCCCAGGTTAAACCAGGCATGGTGGTGTTCGCCTGTAATCCCAGTACAGAGAGGTGGAGGTAGGAGGCTCAAATGTTCAAGGTCATCCTCAGATCAAACCCACGAGGGTTTGAGGCTAGCCTGGTATACATGAGACCCTGTCTCAGAAAACAAGCAAAAAGAATGAACCTCTCCATGTGAGGAGACATACTTAGACGCTGAGCTGCTTTTTCTCTGCAGTGCATAGCCAGTGTTAAAATGTTTTTTTGGGCTGCTCTAAATACAGATCCATCAGAATCTCCTCTGGAACAATTGAATCACTTGGGAAGAAAGTGTCAAAGGTAGAAAGAAGACCTCACACTGAAGTACATGGCATTTCTGTTTGAACACGAACTAATTATAGGCTAGCAGGAGAACCTCGATGTTGGACGGGGTAGGGATTGTTAAAAGAATTTGTGGACTCATCCTGAAAAATGCTTCTTTCTTTCTTTTGTTTTTTTCCTCACTCTTCTTTTCCAGGGCAGGTAAACCCCCACCTGGCTTACATCTGGATGTAGTGAAAGGAGACAAGCTAATTGAGGTATTGAAATGCACCCCCATTCTAAAGTTTTTTTGCTAGTGACTCACTTTTCCACTTTTCTCCTTTGCTTTGTTTTCAGCAATGTTATTTTTGTTTTTTGGAGGGGGGAGTTGTTTGTTTGTTTTAAGACAGGGTCTCTGTAGTCCTGGCTGTACTGGAGCTCTCTATATAGACCAGGCTGGTCTTGAATTCACAGAGATCCGCCTGCCTCTGCCTCCCGGTACCGTGATTAAAGGTGTGTGCCACCATACAGGCTTGTTTTTATTTATCACCCCCCTGTTAAAAGTTCATAGGGACTGGGGATGTGGCTTTGTAATAGAGTGGCTGTCTAGCATTCAGACAACCCTTTTGGTCCCGAAGTCAACACTCTTCTCGCCTACAGACACTCAGTTTTTCATTATTTCTCTCACTTTACAAATGAAGATAACCTTTAACAGGTCATGGGCCCTCAGGGCCCAGACAAACTGGAATCCATAGTTTATAATAACCAAGGAAGTTTATGATATAAATTGTTTAACATTTAAGCTGCTTCTATGAAATTAGGGGTTAGTTCCTTTAGGGTTGTATGGTTAGGTAGGGTACTTGTCAGAATAGAGAAGGAAATGGAGCTAAAGTCCATTCATTTAAAACTAAGGGGAGAGCTAAGGTCTGGTGGCACACACCTTTAATCCCAGCACTCAGGAGCAGAGCCACGAGGATCTCTGTGAGTTGGAGGCCAGAAGGGCTATACGTTGGGTCCCTGTCCGGAAAAAAACAAACAAACAAACAAACAAAAAAAACGAGAGAGACAGAATCACACACACAAAAATGTAATCATATTTAAATGTTGTAAAGGAAAAGATTAGTGGAATTACAGCTTCTGCACAGTTTTCTAGAGTCTATGTCACATCCAATTTTAGAGTACAATGATTAGCTGTCAGATTATAATAGGGTTTTGTTCGATTGGTGTTGAGACAAGATCTCACTATGTAGCCCTGGCTGACCTGGAGCTTAAAGATATCCACCTGCCTCTGCCTCCCCAGGGCAGGGATGATGTTCTTTTATATTTGAGATCGAGTTCCACTCTGTAGCCCATACTGGCCTGGAACTCACTATGTAACGCTGGCTGGTTTCAGAGTCTTTGGTAGTCCTACCCCAGTCTCCCTAGTGCTGGGATTGTATGAGTCACTGTATCTGCCTTATTTATGTTAAGATATATAGTTTTTTTACTAAGAAATAGAGGATAAATCCACTGCTTTCATAGTTAGAAATTAGGTTCAAAGCTCTATTATTAAGTGTAATTATTTTTCCTTGGTATATATAATAAAAAACATGACATACTTGAAAAGTGATGACTTTGGGAGGGGGAGCGGCAGGAGAGTTGGACAGTCTCACACACCCCCTTTAGTTCTTTTATGGAAAAGAGCATTCATGGGTTCTTTTATGGAGGTAAAAGAAAAAGCTCATTGTTATTCTAGGAAATAATTTGATTAAAAATATCTGGAAACCTTTTACTCCAGGTGGTTTCATAGGAAAACAATTTTGTTGCTACACAGAATAGTATGAAATTTGAAGATGTATAGAAATCTGCTTTGCGGGCTGGAGAGATGTCTCAATATGTAAAAGGCTTGCTATACAAGCCTAACAACTTGAGTTGGATCCCTGCAATTCATGTACACAGAAGAAAAGAACCAACTACACACAGTTGTCCTTTGACCCCTATGCTGCCTGTTTCCTCCAATACACACAGATACGCAGATAAATAATAATATATATTAAAAGACAAGACCTATTTTGTTATTAGAATTTAGTAGCTTTTAGTTTGCAACAAGAATAAACAGGCAAAAGGGCTGAGTGATAGCATCACATTCCTTTGTGGAAGATGCATATTTCCAAAGTTCCTTTCCCTTATTCAGCAGCTTGTGATTATTGGTTTCTGTCTGCTGATACTGTTCTTATCTTTTAGTTCTTCTACATGTGCTGGGTTGCATACCATTGTCAAATTGTAATCCATAGGTGTCACTGTATGGCTCTTAAAATAGGCCCGAGATAGGTGTGTGAGTGTGTGTTTATGTTGCTGTGCTAGTGATCCAGGGTCTCAGGCATTCTGGGCAAGTGTTCTGTTGCTTAGCTATAGCCCTTAGCCTAGGTGTATTTATATTAAGGACTTAGATTTGATCAGCACTCGATACTAACCGAGCTATCTATATCCTAGTCTTATTCCAAGGCTTGTGATATGTCGTGATAGTTGGGTTGAAGAAGTGCGATATTAAAATAAAAGCCATGAGTCTTTAGGCCCAGTGTGTAAAGACACACTCTGAGTTATAACTCAGAGGCACATCTGGATAGTGAACAGCCATAGCTAGCCAGAAATTTAACCAGAAAGAGTAATGCATGACTTGTTCACCTTTTAACATAGTTCCTTAATTCTAAGTATTTTCCATTAAAATTCCCTTTTAACATTTCTGTGGTTAGGATGCTGTTAATAGTGAATGTGTGCCTGTAATATGAGAATCCCCCCTCCCCCCCACCCCTGTCTTTTTCTGTTTTGTTTTTTTTTGGGGGGGGGGGGGTTGTGTTTTTGAGTCAAAGCCCCAGAAGCTACCCTCTGACTGTCCTGGAACTCACTGTGTAGACCATGCTGGCCTTCGGTTTATTGTGATCCTTTTGACTGTGCTTCCTGGTGCTGGGGTTACAGGTATGCACAATCACAGCCCACCTCAATCTGTGTTTTACAATCTAGCACTGGGTGATTGGCTATTGGGCCATTACCAAACCTAGGTGCTCCAGAGCTGTAGCAACAGCATGTGGACATTGCTGATTCGATTCCCCAGAGGTGACCCACAGATCCAAGCTGCTTGAATTGATTGAATCCTGAGGCTAAGCTCAGGAGAAACTGAGTAACTGCTTAAAGGAAAAGTACTTTTTTGGGGGGGGGTAATATGACCCATGATACATACTTATTTGCTCTTTAAAATATTCATTCCTAGCTGGTTTACCCTTCAGTACCAGTGGATTAAAGAAATGGTATAATGTAGAGGTGTAAAATGCTCAAACTGGGGCATCTGGAGAGGTGGCTCAGCAGTTGACAATCCTGCTCTTCCAGAGGACCCAAGTTCAATTCCTTGCATTCAGGTTGGGAAGCTTGCAACCATCTGTAACTCCATATCCAAGGGATCAAATGCCCTCTTCTGGCCTCCACAGGTACCTGTACACATAACACATTGCACACAAACACATAAAGTGAAAATAAACTTTTGTTTTAGGCTGCCACTATGTAGCTCTGGCCTGGAACTCACTCTGTAGCCCTCTGTAGTTTTGAGCTCACAGAGACCTTCTTGCCTCTGCCTAGAGCTAAAGGCATTCATCACTGGGGCTGGCATTTTTAGATGCTCAAATTTAAGTGGGTTTTGTGATACATGCATGTAATCTAAGCACCTAAGGAGTGGAGGCAGGAGGGTCAGAAATTCAAGGTCATCCCGAGCTGTATGGAAGGTTTGAGGACAGCCTGGAATATATGAAATCTAGTTTTAAAAAGAAAGAAAGAAAAGCCGGGCGGTGATGGCACACCTTTAATCCCAGCAGAGGCAGGCGGATCTCTGTGAGTTCAAGACCAGCCTGGTCTACAAGAACTAGTTCTAGGGCAGCCTCCAAAGCCACAGAGAAAACCTGTCTCAAAAAACCAAAGGGAAAAAAAAAGGAAAGAAAAAAATATTAAACTGTAAAATCAATAAATTTGAATTTTATTTATTTTACTTAATAATTTATTTTTTACTTTATGTGCATTGGTATTTTGCCAGTATGTATGCCTGTATGGGGGCATTGAACCCTGGAGTTACAGACAGTTATGAACTGCCATGTAGGTGCTGGGAATTGAACCCAGGTCCTATGGAGGAGCAGTTAGTGCTTTTAACCACTGAGCTGTCTAGCTCCTTTATTTTACTTTAAAATAAATTATGGGGGCAGGGTATGTCTCACTAGACCAGTCTGGTCTCGAACTTGGGGATCCCCCTGCCTCTACTTCCCAGGTTTTGGGATTAAAGGTGTGCACCACCATGCCTGGCTTGAAGTTTTAAGATAATAGGTGTTAGTTACCATTCCTGGCTTCTCGGGATTTTAGGAACATAGGGTGGAATGTGAACCAGCGCTCAATAAGACCTGTATTTAAGAAACAAGACAGCATATTAAATGATGGTCATCAGGTGCTCCCACTAGACCACCAGCATCAGGCTGGAAATAAGACTGTGTTGGTAATAGTTACTAGTGTCCTTCATTCTATGACTGTAGTTTATAACCTGTGACAACAGTTGAACTTGTCAGAGTGTCATTCAGCTCAAAGAAAGCACTTTCTTTTCCTGCCCTTCCTACTCATTTGCTAAACAAATGGGTTTTTTTTTGTTTGTTTGTTTTTTTAAGAAAAAGGGATATTTTTATTTTAGGTGTGTGTGCACTGTGTGTATGCCTGATGCCTGTGGATGCCAGGAGTCACATTCCCTAGAACTGGAGTTACAGATAATTTTGAGCCATCATGTGGGTTCTGGGGATCCAAACTTGAGTCCTCTGTAAAGGCAGCCAGTGTTCTTAACCACTGTACCATCTTTTCAGCCTCTTCCTTTCTTTTTCCTTTGAAACAGGGTTTTATTATGTAATAGCTCTGGCTGTCCTGGAACTCACTATATAGACCAGGCTGGCCTCCAACTCTGAGATTTCCCATCTCTGCCTCCTGAGTTCTGGCATTAAAGGCATTCAGCTGCTACTCCAGCCCCTAGTAAAATTTTTATTTCAGCAATGTATGGTGGCTTGCACCTTTAATCCCAATCACTTAGGAGGTAGGGGGATCTCTACGATTTTGAGGCTAGCCTAGTTGTGTAGAGTTCCAGGCTAGCCAGAATTACATTTAAATTTTTATTTTCTGAGCATTAGTGTTTTGCCTGCATGAATATCTTTGTGAGGGTGTTGGGTCTTCTGGAACAAGAGTTACAAACACCTGGGTGCCGAGAATTGAACCCAGGTCCTCTGGAAGAGCAGTCAGTGCTCCTAACCACTGAACCATATATCCAGCTCCCCGAGTTACATTTTAAAAAGAAGAATACAAGAATTTATCTCTCAGGGTTAGGCCACTTACGTTTAATAGAATTAAGAACAGTTTTGTTTTTCATACAAGCTCTACACAACGGAGGATTGTATTTGGAGAGATGAAATGTAATCCTCCATCAAAATGTTTTAGCTTGATAAGCTGCTATTTGAGTACATAGAGGTGGGCCTGTAGATAGAGTATTTGTGGGGGAGGTTTTTCAAGACAGGGTTTCTCTGTAGCCTTGGCTGTCTTGGAACTCCTGTAGACCAGGCTGGCCTTGTACTCAGAGAGATCTGCCTGCCCCTGCCTCCTGAGTGCTGGGATTAAATGAGTGTGCCACCACCACCCGGCTCATAGAGCATTCTTGAGGTAAGTTTGTGCCACTGACTTAAAAGAAGTACTAGGAAATAGGCAAAGACATTTTTTTCCTGCTCAATAGCCCAGATCCCTGTTCTTCAGCTGACAGTCTTCCCCTGAAGACATTTTTGCTGAACTTAGATGGGTTTGTTGACCTGGGGAAGAGGTCTATCATTTAGAATTTCAGTGGCATGCATGGAACAGGCTTGAGTCATGTCCCCCAGGAGCCAGGATGAACTAATGGAACAATACGGTTTTATCTTAGCTGGAAGTAAGGAAAACGCATGCTGGCCATTTGGGAGCTAGTGTGCATTACATGTGAAAGATGTCCCCATGGTGGATCTTATTATGGTCAGAAGCTTTCGTGGGAGAGACTGGCAGTTTACTGGAAAGCCCCCGTGCCGATCTTACCAGACCCTAGAACTTAACAATGGGAGATGCTTTTCTCAATGCTATTCAAGATTCTCTACTTATGTGACTGGAAGTTTTTGCTAAACTTGGTTGTAGTAAGAATGAAGTAATAATGTAATTTCTTATTTGTTTAGAAACTGATTATTGATGAGAAGAAGTATTACTTATTTGGGAGAAATCCTGATTTGTGTGACTTTACCATCGACCATCAGTCTTGCTCTCGAGTTCACGCGGCACTGGTTTACCACAAGCACCTGAAGAGGGTTTTCTTGATAGATCTCAACAGCAGTGAGTGCCTCCCCTTTACCCTGCTCCTGTGGGGACTGAGATGATGTTGGGGGGCTGGGAAGTTTTATTTTAACCAGTTCTTTATTTATCTTATTTTCTTGAAATAATTGACTAAGGAGAAAATATAGTTTGGGGGGCTCTTCTGGGACACATTTGTATGTGGAGAGAATAAAAATGGCATGAAGGAACACAGGTTATTGATGTTCAAGTACTTGTAAGACTATGGTGAACTCTGATCCAGTTTAAGTTGAAATCATGAATAGTGTCATTGGTATGCAGCAATACAGGATGTTTACGAAATACTTGTTTTAAGCAACATTTATTATTTACAGTAGGTTATTTATGCCAGATACACTTTGCTTTAACTGAATTACAACGATTTTAGTTTCATGAGTACACTGAAATTAATGAGATTTTAAACTTTGCTTAAAATAGTCTAGAGCAATGCAGGTGAGACTGGGTGGTGTGGACCATTGAAGTTTGCTTGTTTGCTGTGATAGATAGAGTAAAACATACAAAGTTGTACTTCCTCTGCTCATCATGCTTGACCCTCACACCCACCCAGGCACATGCAGACACACACCTCCCAGTCTGTTTCCATAAGGACCTGATGAGCCTTGTCCTACAGGTACTTTTCTTTCCATTTCATAACATGCAGAAACGCTAACAAGGAAAATTTCACACTCTGGTAGGAATTTGGCTTGCCTTGGCATTGACATTTCATCCGTGTTGACCAATCTCCTCCTCTTCTGGGGAAAAGCTAAAGCATAATGCCACCAGACCAGCAGTTTTCATGTTCTTAGAGTTGGAGCTAGAGAGGGCAGACCACACCTATGCTTGCCTCATGCCTTGGAGAGCAGAGCATGGCTTCTGCTCGATTGGAACCATTCCTGCTGGACCCAGAATGGATTCAAGCCTTTCTGGCAGCAGAGAAAAGGCAATGGTGTTCGTTGGATACCAGCAGATTTAAAGGTGTAAGAGATCCACTGAAGAGATTCAAAGCTCCTTGCTGTAACACAAGACAGTATGAAGTGAACACAGCAACATTTTCATCTTTTCTGCAAACATAGTCTCACACGTTTCTATATTCCCTGCACTCAGGATGATGAGGCGGGAGAATCATGAGTCAGTCTGGTTGACATAGTTTGTTTGAGTTCACACTGGCTACATAGTAAGTTGAAAACCAGCCCTAATTAATAGTGAGACCCTG